CTTTCTTTTTCCTGAGGACGGTGCTGTTCCTCGCCGCCGACAGCCCCCGTCCCGACAGCCCCCGTCCTCAAGGCGGTGTTCCTCCTCGCCGCCGAAAGCAGCCGCCCCAACAAAACCAGCGCTCCCGCTCGAGACTCCGTCTTGTTTTGCGCTGGACTAGCGCCTATTCCCTTCAGCATTGGCGCCGCTCCCAGCAACAACGCCAGCCCTGCTGGAGACTTCCTCCCTTTCTATTCAGGGCCAGGTCCTTGCCCCACCGCCGTCAACCCCATCCCCACCAAGGCAACCCTGTCGTTCGATACTTCCTTGTGCTCTACCCTTCGCTGGGGTCCCACTGGCGGTCTCGCATCGGCGCAACAAGGCGCGGGCATGTGTTTTCGAAGCGGGATATGTTGAAATTCCTCGGAGGAGGTGTTCGCAATACCTCATTGGGCGGGCGCTGTGGGAATGGGATGGGAATAACGAGCCCCGCTATAAAACAAATGCCCCCCATGATGTGGATGGTTATCATGATGGACGCATGCTTCGTGTGGAAACATCGCGCATGAGGGTAAACTGATTGTTGTTGTGCATGTTAAACTCCCACTTCTGACAAATAATTATTGTTGACCCCCCCACCGGTGCATACTGTTTTCTTCTCCATCAAAATTCGCCCCTCGACGCTCGCATCCTTCTTTATCCGGGAAAATACCGAAGCTCAAATTAAGCCCCTGTCCCCAGGGTTACAACAACAACGGTTCCCGCCGATGGCTTCCTCACAATTTAGCCAGGACCCCCGCTCCCGCCTGAGACTGCCTCAAATCTTATTCAGGCATCGTGCTCTCGCTTGGGACTTCCTTGCAATTGATTCAGGAATCGCTCTCCCGGCGCTCTGGAGTCTCGCTCTCGCTGGACACTTGCTTGCAATCTACTGAAGAATAGCGCCCTTGCGTGTGAATTTCCTACAATTTACTCGAGCGCCGCGCTCCCGACACCCAGGCACCCAGGAGTCGCGCTCACGCTTAGTACTCCCTCACAGATGACCTAGAGATCGGGATCTCGATGCCCTTCGTGGCCTCGTTGAAGCCCTTCGTGGCCCCTTCGTTTTGTTTCGTGGCCCCGTTGCAGCCCTTCGTTGCCCCCTCGCTGCGCTTCGTGGCCTCGTTGCAGCCCCTCGCCACCTCCTCGCTGCCCTTCGTGGCCCCGTTGCAGCCCTTCGTGGCCCCCTCGCTTTGTTTCGTGGCCCCGTTGCAGCCCTTCGTGGCCCCCTCGCTGCCTTTTGTGGCCCCGTTGCAACACTTCATGGCCCCGTTGCAACCCTTCGTGGCCCTGTCGTTGCCCTTCGTGGCCCCGTTGCATCCCTTCGTGGCCCCCTCACTGCCCTTCGTGGCCCCATATGCCCTTCGTGGCCCCCGCTCGTTCGCGCCCGTGGTGGCCCCATATGCATGCCCTTCGTGGCCCCGCTGTCGCCCTGCGTGGCCCCCTCACTGTCCTACGTGGCCCAGTTGCTACCCGTAGTGGCCCCATCGTTGCCTTCTGTACACCCGCATTATCTGCCCTTCGTGGCCCCTGCTCGTTCGCGCTCTTCGTGGCCCCATACGCATTCCCTTCGTGTCCCCGCTGTCGCCCTTCGTGGCCTACTTCGGGTCCTTGTGGCCCTGCTGTCCTTCTCTCTCGCTCTCGCTTTCGCTCGTCGTTGTCGTCGCCGTCGCCGTCGCCGTCGCCGTCGCCGTCGCCGTCGCCGTCGTCGTCGTCGTCGTCGTCGTCGTCATGGTCGGTCCCATGTCCGTCCCTCTTGGGGTCGGGTCGACGGTCCGCGGCCGCCCCGCCGATCAGCGCTGCCGTTCGCCAGGCCGACGGTCCGCGGCCGCCCCGCCGCTTGCCGGGGCCCGGCCTGCAGGGAAGAAAGGTCTACCCCCCCAAAAAGGGTTCGATCGAAGACGAAGAGGGCGGGTATCGAGGGTTTGGGAAATAAGCGTTATTGGAGACAAGAGCAGGCAAGGGCGAACAGTTTTAAAATGATGGCTGTTGAACATTATTTCTTCTTAAGAATAATTATTGTTGGGGCCCCTGGTGCGCGACCTCTGCGCCGCGCCTAGGCCGCAGCTACATTTTCATCATTTTTTCGCGAAAGCTTCAGAAAAGTGGATGAGCTCCGGATCCGGTTTTTTGTTCCCCCCGCTTTCCCTTGCAAAAAACACTATAAAATGACATTTCTTGTTCTAACATAATCAAATTTCAATAATCCCTTGCAGAAAACAAGGTAAAGTGGACATTCGCGCGCGCAAGACGAAATCCTTCCAGAACCTTAGGTTTCGTAGCGATTTCAACATAAAAACATCAAAAACCCAATGGTTTTTCAAAAAAAAATGTCCAAATTTCATCCCGCGCGCGCTGTCCGACTCCCACAAAACCAATGGTTTTTCAACATTTATGTTACATGAGCTCGCGCGAGCTACTTTTTCTTGTTCTAACATAATCAAATTTCAATACTCCCTTGCAAAAAAAAGTAAAGTGGACATTCGCGCGCGCAAGACCAACAAAAAACACGACGATCTCAGGAACTTGCCCCAAAAATGTGACCAACTCCGCTCTCTCTGTCTCTCTCTCTGTCTGCTCTCTGTCTCTCTCTCTGTCTGTCTGTGTCATGTATTGTATGTCACAATTGCAGGATGCTGGGCACACGCGCGCCCCGAATAAGTGACCAAGTTCTGTGGGTGTGTACCCCACGCCAGTGTAGTAGCCACGGTCGTCCGCACGCCACGAAGTGAAGTGTCCCAACGTCATAGGGCGGGAAGCTGGGTTTGGGTGGTCGCGAAGAGTCGTTTGGATATTTGGTAGAGCTTGAACTGCCCCCCCACGAAGTGGGGGTATTGTCTCGCGTCGCATGAAAACCCTGGCACTGGTGAGAACACTGAGCGTTCGGGTAAAATGATTGTTGTTGTTGTTGTTGTTGTTGTTGTTGAGCTCTCATTTCTGAAGAATAATCATTGGTGATCCCCCCCGCCGGTGCATATGGCTTTTTCAATTGAAGTGCCCCTCCCGGCGTTCGCACTCTGCTTTTTTTATCAAGGAAATTCATGAGGCTCAAACTGGGCCCCTGGCCCCCCGGTTACAACAACAACGGCTCCCGCTTTGGACTTTCCCACAATTTAGCCAGGACCCCCGCTCCCGCCTGAGACTTCCTCACATGTTCTGCAATAATCGCGCTCTCGCTGAGGACTTCCTTATAATTTATTCCGGAATCGCTCTCTCGGCGCTCTGGGGTCGCGCTGTCGCTGGAGACGTGCTTGCAATTTACTCAAGAATAGCGCCCTTGCGTTGGAATGCCCTGCAATTTGTTCAAGCGCCGCGCTCCCGACACCCAGGCGCTCAGGAGTCGCGCTCACGCCCATGATTCCCTCACACATGATTTAAAAATCGGGTGCAGCCCCTCGTTGCCCCTTCGCTGCCCTGCGTGGCCCCGCTGCAGCCCTTCGTGGCCCCTTGCTGCCTGGCTCCGTTGCAGCCCCTCGTGGCTCCCTCGCTGCCCTTTTGTGGCCCCTTTGCAACCCTTCGTGGCCCCCTCGCTGCCCTTCGTGCCCCCGTTGCAGCCCTTTGTGGCCCCCTCGCTGCCCTTCGTGGCCCCCTCGCTGCCCTTCGTGCCCCCGTTACAGCCCTTCGTGGCCCCGTTGCAACCCTTCGTGGCCCCGTTGCAGCCCTTCGTGGCCCCGTTGCAGCCCCTCGTGGCCCCCTCGCTGCCCTTCGTGGCCCCGTTGCAGCCCTTCGTGGCCCCCTCGCTATCCTTCGTGGCCCCGTTGCAGCCCTTCGCGCCCGCCTCGCTGCCCTTCATGGTCCCATATATGTATGCCCTTCGTGGCCCCCTCTCGTCCGCGCCCGTCGTGGCCCAATATGCATGCATTTCGTGGCCCCGCTGTCGCCCTTCGTGGCCCCGTTTCAGCCTTTCGTGGCCCCCTCGCTGCCCTCAGTGGCCCCGTCCTTACCCTCCGCGGACCTATATACGCATGTCCTTCGTGGCCCCTGCTCGTTCGCGCCCGTCGTGGCACCATGTGCATGCCCTTCGTGGCCCCGCTGTCGCCCTGCGTGGCCCCCTCGCGGTCCTACGTGGCCCCGTTGCTGCCCTCAGTGGCCCCGTCGTTGCCTTCCGTGGCCCTATTATCTGCCCTTCGTGGCCCCTGCTCGTTCGCGCTCTTTGTGGCCCCATACGCATTCCCTTCTTGCCTCCGCTGTCGCGATTCGTGGCCTACTTCGTGCCTTTCGTGGCCCTGCTGTCGTTCTCTCTCTCTCTCTCTCTCTCTCTCTCTCTCACTGTCGCTTTCGCTCGTCGTCGTTGTCGTCGTCGTCGCCGTCGTCGTCGACGTCGTCGTCGTCGTCGTCGTCGTCGTCGTCGTGGTCGGTCCCTGTCCGTCCCCCTTGGGGTCAGGTTGCCGCCGATCAGCGCTGCCGCTGGCCAGGCCGACGGTCCGCGGCCGCCCCGCCGCTTGCCGGGGCCCGGCCTGCAGGGAAGGAACGTAGACCTTAGGTGGCCTTTCTCCCTTACCTTACTGTGGATGTTGAAACGGCCGATACCGCGAGGAACTTGGAGGGCATTTGAGGGGCAACAGGCAGGCAAACCAATGCTACTTCCGCAAGGTATTATGCGCGCCTCAAAAAGATTGTGGAGGAGAGAATTCGTGATAATCACAAAGGAAGAGGGAGGAAGAAAGGAGGGAGGAGGAGGGAGGAGGAAGGAGGAGGGAGGAAGGAGGAGGAGGAGGGAGAAATATTGAGGGAGGAAGGAGGAGGAGGAGGGAGAAATATTGAGGGAGGAAGAGGAGGGAGGAGGAAGGAATGAATATTGGATTTTGGGCTGAAAGAAAGAGCAGCGAAGGCAGAAGTCAGAGGAGGGAGGGAGGGGGAAGGGATCCGAGGGAGGAGGACGACGAGGACCCAACGCTCGGCTGCAGTGTTCGTGTGTGAAGATCGCGATGTGTCCGACGCACAACCGCATCGATGTCCGAAATGCCCGGAGGCGACTCGTCCTACTTATCGTCCTCGGCGTCCTCACGGCGGGCCGGCGCCGGCTTGGCCGCGCCCGTCTCCGGGTCGACCTGCACACGTGCGACCCTCTTGCCGCCCGGGGCGTACTCCGGAGCACCGTCGGAGATCGCCAAGGTCCTCTTCGATCCGAGGGCCGACACAACGGAGTCCTGCAGCGCCTTGTACTGCGGAGAAGACTCGTCGGCCAAGGCCGCCGTCTGCACCTTGGTGACGGCTGCGCGGGACACCGAAAGCATGGCCTCGCGAAGCGCCTCGCAGGCGGCGATCACGGGCTGGAGCTTCAGCTCAACGATGGATCCGGGCCTGCAGTGACGCTGCAGAGCCGCCGTCTCTCCGGCGTCCCCGAGCGCAATGCGTGCAACCGTGGCGCCGACCTCAAGAGCATCGCGGATCGAAGAGCGCACCGGGTCGAGTGTCTCGTACGTGCCGGACCCAAAGAGATGGTCGGCGAACTCAGCGGCGTTGAGCTCCTGATCACGGGAGATCTCGGCAAGTGCAATCTGGTCGTGGAGCGAAGCCGTGGAAATGCGAACCTGCGAAAAGCCGCCCAGGAGGCGCTCCGCCCTCTTTCGTGAGGAGCTCGCTTCGACGATCTCCTCCTCCCACTGCTCAGCCCAGCAGGTCCTGCTCTGCTGCATCGTCCCCTGCCAGGGACGCGCCACCACCCCCCTCCTGGTCCTCAGCCTCGGCGGCCTCGGCGTCGTCCTGGGCGGGCTCCACTCCAGCTTGCTGCTGGAGCGCCTCCAGCTGCTTCTTGAGCTTCTGGGGTATGGTCGTCTTGGCGTTCCTCATCTCCACCATGTAGTTCGAGACGAGGGCGGCATCCTTCGAAAGGAGGATGCAGAACGCGCTGCGGACTGCGATCATCGACTTGGCCTTTCCCCTCTGGACGATCGCCTCTTGGATCTTCTCCTCCAGCTTGGATGCAGACTTCTCCCCCACGGAGAAATTCCCTCCAACGGGCGAGGCCAGCAGCCTCCACGTGGTCAAGGTCTCACCCATCGTCTTGACAGCATTGATCAGACTTTGCCGCCCGGGCATCTCTTTCACGATCTGCATCTGCTCGGGCTCGAAATTCTTCGTGGCGGATTTAGTGTCGATTAAATTCGGTCCAATCGACTTGCCTACAGCCTCGATCTTATTCGCAATGGCTTCGAGCGCGTTGTACATCTTAGTCCTCTTGGCATCATCCCAGCTTTTGAAGGTCTTGCTCAAGTTCGCGCGGACAGCATCTGACAGGACATCCGAGCTCGCGCTCTCCATCCAGACCTGCAGGTCCGTCAGGTCGCGCTCCTTCTCGTTGTAGTTTTTGAAGAGGTTGTTCTGGTCGTTGCCCTGCAGGCCCACTTGCGCTAGGCTCGGCTCTGCAACTGCTTTGCTACCGAGGCCAGCCGCGCACCAAAACCTGGCCCAGAGTTTGGCCTCGTTGTTTTCATAGTCGGCGGTCCCAGGGCCCGACTCTACCCCCCTGCCCAACCAGAATGGTTCAAAATGAAAGCGTTCCCAGATCCTCCCCATTGCTGGCCCAGACAGCAAAGCAGAAAGGCCTCACCTACCGCGTTGAGCCCTGAAACCTCGCCGTAGCCGTCCAAGGCAATCACGGCCCGAAGAGCCGGCAACAGCTTCATCAGGAACGGGACGCGCTTGCTCTTGTCGCCACTCGGGATAGACGCCTCGGCACCCTCGGAGAGGCTGAACTTATCCTTCAGCTCGTTGAAAACTATGGCGACGCCAACCTTCATGTCCAGCTTCCCCAGCACCGTGTGCACATCATCGGCAGTCACGCGGGTCACCAGCTCCTCTGGAATATCCACATGACCTGCAAAGTTCAAACTGATATTCAGAAGCTCGTGGTCCTCGATCGTAATTGGATCCTGCTCGTCGCCGTCATTGTTGGACTGGATGTCGATCAGAGCCTTCATCACGCTGCAGAGGGGCGCAGGCAGGATCTTGTGAAACTCCCCCAGCGCGTTCATCGTGGTAAGGAATGTCAGAGCTTCACGGTCGACTTCGATCGTCAACTTGATGATGTCCAGCAGGTCGATCGGGTATGGTACGTTCCCCTGCACGCCTATAGAATTGGTGGCCTGAGCCAGGCCCTTGATATCATGGTTCGACATTTTGCTCAAGGCAATGTTGAGCTTGTCGACTGGCAGGTCTGCACCTAGGACAGCATCGACATTGAACCACTTCAGGTACTCCAGCAAGCCGCACCAGCTCTGCAGCGCCTGGTTGCGGCCGGGGATCTCGTCAAGGGGCTTCGCCTCGGGCATGTTTCCGTGCAGCATCTGAGTGTAGGTTGTCAGCAAGCGGGCCTGTGTCCCTACCCACTTGACCACGGCAATCTGCGTATCCTCGTCAGCGGTGGCCACGTTGCTGGGCACCTCTGGGAAGGCTGGCACTGCGACAATGTTGTAGTAGCCTAGTAGCCTACTAATTGGCCTGCGTTGTGGCCTGGCCCCTCCTGCCTGAAGTCTCCAACCTGAAGCCTGAAGCCTGTTGCCTGAAGTGTTCCTGGAAATATCACTCCGAAGATCCTGGGCCTGAGCGTAGGCGTCTCTCTAATGCCTTTTGAATCTACGCCCCATTTCAGGTCGAGCAGCTCCTCCTGGGAACAAGGGGCCAAGGGCGGGGATCCGGGGGCCTCTGGGGCAGGATCAAGGCAGGCAAACATCACATCTTACCTATTAAGCTACCCCCCAAAACACTTTCGAAGCCATGAGGCCTGGAACATGATAGAAGCTGCGATACGATCCATGAAAGTTACCATTGCCTCTGCCACCTCGTCGCTGTTCGTCTCCTTCCAGTTGACCTTCTTGCACTCGCTGACACAAGCAATGAACTTCTCGATATGCTGCTCTATGGATTTCTGATCAATCGAAGGCAACGTGCTCGTCGCTTTGTTGATAGCTTTCAGGATGCCCGCCGTTGCCTGCGATTTCTGCTCCATCTGCTGCACTGTTTTCATCATGTCGGTCAGGCCCTTCACGGCCATCTCGTAGGGCGCAGGCTTCTTGCGCTTGAGCAGGGCCAAGTAGCAAGAAGAGTCTTTCTTTTGCGTCAGGCGGGCGACGGCTGCCTGCACTCCGGACTTCATGGGCGCGACGTTCGACGAGTCCACAGCCTTGTCCTTCCAAATGAAGTACACGCTGATGGCCTTCATGTCGTCCACAGCTGGTTTCGGTAAGGAAGTCCGGTTCAGCACTGCCGTGACCAGGCCCTTGAACTTCGCCTCGCCCTCGTCGTAATCGTTGATGGTCTTCATGGAGTCCAGGAAGCTGCTCATCACCTTCGGGATTCTGAACGCCGAACTCATCCCTCGTCCTGCCGAGCTTCCGATTTTGCCCCCATGGTCCGCGGAGGTCCCCAGAGGCATCTGGCTGGAGGCCCAAGAAGGCCCCCCAAGAAGCCAAGAAAAGACAACAAAAACACACGTCCAAAACAAAAACTCGATCCTCGATCCTCCTCCTGCCCCTCCCCTCCGCTTCCTCCGCCTTCCTCCTCCTCGATCCTCCAGCCTTCCTCCTCCTGCTCCTGCTCCTCCTCCTCAGCGCTCGTCCACGCTATTCCCCTCATCCACCCCATCACTCCTTTCCTCCTCCCAGTCCTGCCTCAAAATCAACTCCTCATCATCTCTTGAGCGAGTGTGATTTTACATGCATGCTGCATGCTGTTTTATTTAACCCCTTGGGTTACAGGACCTTCAGCAAAAGCGCCTGCGCATGCCCTGCCTGCTCCTCTGCCGGGAGCATGCCGATGCCGCCAACGGTATTCGTGTCCTCGATCAGTCCCAGCTGCCCCTCCAGGTCCTCGGTTTCCTTCACCTTCTTGTCGATCACGATCTTCGTGATGCAGGGTGGCATGGCCGCCCCTGCGATCAGCTTCGCCTTGGCCGCGTCTTGCTGCTGGTAAGCCGTCGCGGCATCGAGGCCCTGGAATTTGGTCCAATACTTTTTGAAGCCGCTGATGGCCGTCATCGCCTCCACGTGCTTCTGCAGCTTCTCGATCTCTGCGTCTGCCCCGACTTGTTTCGAGCCCTTCGCCTTGAGGAACCGGTTGGCCGCGTCGATGGCCACGACGATGTCCTTCAGCATCTGCGACAGCGGTCGGGGATTGTAGGCCGCCCACTTGCCTGCAATGAAGTCCACGTAAGCAACCTCCAAGGGATGGAGGAGCTCCTTCGCGTGGGCAGCAATCTTGTCGTCCTTCGGCGGCGCAGAGCCAGAGCGAACGCTGCCCGCAGCGCTACTGCCACCAACGCTCTTGCGGCCGGTCTTTGGCGTAGACGCCGCCGTCGAAGCAGTCGCAGCCGAAGTCTTGGATTTCTTCGCAGGCGGTTGAGCAGCGGCCGCCTTCTTGGTGCCAGGGTTCTTGACCAGCGGCCGGGCGCCAGAACAAGCATCCGAGTCCGAGTTGGACGCCGAGACGCTGCCATCCTCGGACTCCTCCCCGTCCTTGTCATCTTTGCCATCGTCCGACTCGCTCGAAGCTTGCGACTGCTCGAGGGCCGCCGACTGGTCAGCGGCCCGCTTCCGCAGATCCGCCAGGCGACCCATCTCGATCACGTCCTTCTCAAGCTGGACGGTGGGGCCGGATGCCGCCGCCGCTTCCTGGGGATTGTCCGACATGTCTCTGACCTTTATCACAACCAGTTGGTTCAGCTCTGGCTGGCCTACGCTTCCCACCCCAGGACCCTTCGGAAACGGCCTGCTATTGGACCGAGCCAGGACCCCAGAATCAGTTAGCCCACGCACGAGGCCTAGCGCCTCGCATGCGGGAAGCCACAAGAGGCAGCCCTCTGAACCATGAATGCGAATAGATGGTCAGAGATTCCGAACAGTCCCAGTTGCCTGAGCATCAGCGAAGACTTCCTCCGCGTGCTCCTCGTGGAGCTGCTCCTCCTGGTTGAGCAAGCTCTCCTCCAGCACGGTCTCGTTCTCCACGATGCTGTTCAACTGGAACACTCCTTCCTCGCCGTGCCTCACGGCATACCCATGTAGCAAGGTGCCGTCCTTCTTCTTGACCGTGTGCGGCTTAGCTTTGTTCTCTTTGGGGCATCCGAATTTTCTTTTGCACGCGGATGGTGTATAGAAGTATACGCCACCGTCGACGAGCTGATCTCTCACCGAGGTCCTCTTACTCACCCGCTTAGGCTTTCCATTCCGAACCCTTGACTTCCCGCCTCCCTTTACCCTGATGTAGTTGCCATTCATCTTCTTCCACTTGGCCTTCAAGTGGGGTTTCTCGCGCGTGATGTCCTCGAAGTCCTCGAGGTTCGGCACCTCCTTCTTGAAATTGGACCTCCAGAAGTTGAAGCAGTTCCCGCACCACCTGCCCGAGGGGGCTTTCCTCTTCCTGATGACTCCAGTCTTCTTGTTCTGGAACGGCTTCTTGCGGTACCGGGCCCACTTCACGAGCTTCGGGGCTTGGCGAAGGACCGAGATTGGGCACATCTTCCTAGAGGTCACGTCGCACCCGAGGCAGTCGTGTTCGTCTATCGAGTAGTCGCTCTCGTTGCTGCTGCCATCCGCTTGAGCAGCACCCTCGCCGCCTGCTGGCGGCCCGCCGTTCTCGCTATCGCTATCGCCGCCGCCCAAGCCGAGAAGGCCCATGTCCTCAGCCATGGTTGGCGCAGCACATCTGTGTGGAGCAGCAGGAGTAGTAGTCTTCAAAAGAAGACAAGACGTCGAGTAAACAGATCAGAAAAACAATGCCTCTCGCCCCGGGCGAGCAAGAGCCTGAATCAGCATCGGAGTGACAGAGGGACAGGGGGATAATGAGGGAGGGAAGGGGAAGGGAGGGCAGGGAGCCCCATCTTTTGGTCTGGGGCCCACTTGAGATCCTGAGTTCTACGGCCCTCTTGAGACCCCGAGGCCCAGTATGTGGCATGGTCCGAGGCCTTCTTGGAGCCGAAGAGGCATGTAGATACTGAGCGCGATACGAGGATCATTCGACCTGTCCGTAACAGCTTTGGGTCAGGGGGGCAGATGCTCCAAGGGCCAGCGTCTGCGTCGTCGGCGTCTTCTGAGGGAATTTCTGCCCACCCCCGCGGGGGCAGAAATTCCCTCACCGTCTTGACGTCGTCGTCGCCGTCGTCGCTGACCGTCGTCGTCGTCGTCGTCGTCCGTCGTCGTCGCCGCCGCCGCCGTCGCCGCCGTCGTCGCTTCCTCTCCACCGTGCGATGCAACTGCGACCGAGCGAGCATCGGAGGGTCTGCGATACAACTCCACCGTGAGATACATCTGCGACCGAGCGAGCGCGAGGACGGCTCGCCAGAAAACAGGTGGCCTGCCAACGAAAGTGCGGCCTTTGCATACTAATCCCCCTTGGGCTACAGGCAGCGTGCCATGGAACGAAGGAGGACGAGGAGGACAAGAAGAAGGGGAAGAGAGATGGAGACCAAGGAGGAGCACGAGGGAGGGAATTAGGCGGAGGAGGATGAGGAGGACCAGTAGGAGGAGGAGGACCAGTAGGAGGAGGCGGAGGAGGAGGAGGAGGACGACGACCAGCCGAACGACTTCCTGTCCCCTCCTCCTCCTCCTCCTCCTCCTCCTCCTCCTCCTCCTCCCTGCTCGTCCTCCTCTGATGGTGAGGACTTGCCCCCCTCGGATTGGAGGCCAGGATGGCAAGGGCGGCTGCGGGGCGGCCTGCGCATTGAAGGTGTCCACGAAATAAGGGGGGGAGAGTTGGGGGATGCCGGCAGAGGCTGGGCGCGGGCAAAACGCGCCAGGCCTGCGCATTGAAGATGTTCACGAAGTAGGAGGCGGAGGGGGAGAGGAGGAATTCGGCGGCAGGCAGCAGGTTCAAGGACGATGAGAAAAGAATGAGCACGACCAAGCCATTTCGGGGTTGATCGAAGAGGAGGAGGGTAGGATTGAGGGTCGAGGGTGAGGAAGGAGGAGAGGAGAAGGGATGGAGAAGGAATTAGAAAGCCCATGGAGGAGTAGGAGGAGGAAGAGCAGGAGGGGGTGGTGGATGAAGCGGGGGAGGAGGACGAGGAGGAGGAACAAGAGCAGGAGTCAGGAGCAGATCGGTGGCTCTTCCCCCAGAGGGCGCACCGCCATCTTGCGAAGCGTCGAGTGTCTACTGCTGGCGCCCACGGCGAAGGGGAGGATGGGGGAGGGGGAGGAGGAGGATGAGGAGGAGGAGGAGGAGGAGGAGGAGGAGGAGGGGGAGGAGAGGGATGAGGATGAGGAGGAAGAGGAGGAGGAGGAGAAGGAAGAGGAGGAGGCGAACGAAAAGGAGGATTGAGCGAGGAGGATGAGGATGAGGAGGATGATGAGGAGAAGAGGAGGAGGAGGAGGAGGGCCAGGCCAGGCCAACATTATATATCAACCAGCTGCTAACCAGCTGTTTTCTCACGCCCGGGCCGAGGTCTTCATCTCAGCCTCGGCGCGCTCCAGGTCCTCGTCTATGATCGCCTCGGTCCCCCTGAGATTGATGGCCTCGCTGGACAGATTAGCGCCGGGGACCGCCGTGCCGCCAGCACCACTGCGAGCCGAGGAGCTCGCAGCAGAGCTGCTGGGAGCAGTGCTGCCGCTGCCGCCAGAGCTGCTGCTTGGTGTAGTAGAGCTGCCAGTGCCAGCGGAGTCGGGGTCAACGCTGTAGTTCTTGCCTTCTCCAAGGCTGACTGTGTCCAGGATGCACGCTGCCACTGCACCCACGCACGGCAAGCACATCATGTTCCCTGTGAGGTGCCGCCACCTGGGGAAGTTGAGGCCGTCGAACTTTAAGCCCATGTTGAGGTCCCAGCCCTGCATCTGGAAGACCTCGGGGGCCACGACATACCTCTGGCGGCCCATGTGGAACAACTCCTGAGAAGTTGTCGGCGTACCCACTTTGCCATTCAGATAATACATGCACCTGCTAGCACTCTGAGAGAGGTCAGTCACGGCGTGCTCGCTGACGTCTCCATGCACGGCGCCGGTGTAGGTCGCTGCGATGTCGAGCAACTCCATCTTGCGGCTTCCGAGGATCTGCTTCACGTCGTAAGATAGCTTACTCGAGTAAGCTCGACCGCCTCGCGCATCTCGAGCAGGCATGCGCATCTCTCGTCTGAACTCGTCGAACTTCAGCCTCGTCTTATCGCTCATTCCCCTGCCGCGTCTGCCACCCAGGCCCATGTCCTGGAATTTCTTCGCCTCGCCATCGGGAAGCAAGATGTTCGACAAGTCGCTGGGCTTGATGCTGCTCATGGTCGCAAGCTTATCTGCGATGGTTGTCAGCTCGGCTTGGCCTCCGACATCGCTCCTGATGCCAATAATGTAGACGCGCTTGCGAACGTGGGGCAGTCCAAAATAGTCCGCCCTGGACGTCACCACCTGCCATTTGTAGTTAGGTATGTAGGTCAGCCCGAACTCGTAGAACGTGCCGTCACTCCTCATGATCTTGCCGTACATCACCGCGTCCAAGGGTGACGATACTTTCTGCCGCTTGTTGTTCTGCGTCGTCTCTGTTCCGGTAGCCTTGACGCGATGTCGGATGCCATCGACATTCTCGAGAATGATCACTTTGACCGACTGGCGCTCCCTGAAATACTCGGCGAGTGCGAACAGAGGCCGTGCTTTAGGGTCGAGGAGTTTTTGACTTGCCAACCGGTTGTAGTTCTCCTGATTCTGCATCGCGAACGGCTTGCAGGGAAAGCCGTAGATGCCGATGTCGACGTCAGCGCTGGCCTCTATGCAGCAGAAGCGTCTGTGAATCGTACACAGATGTCGCGTCGGGCTCGGCAGCGCGTCGATGTCCCTGAAGAAGTGGGTCGGGGCCATGTTGGTCATGATGAAATTCTCCGAGTCGCTGTCGCAGTCAATGCTCGTCACATGATCGATCTTCCCAGGCAGTAGTTGCTGGAGGGCCTTGACAGGCGCATCTGTCCCGCTGCACCCCGTCTCGATGACCACCTGCTGCAGGTGGTCTGTACCTCCGAATGTGGCCCACCATTGCTTCGACAATGAGGCCCTCACATACTCAGGCCAATCCTGCCAACGCTCGAATGGCTTCCGCTCCGACATGTCGATCTTGATCCTGGGAGCAGTTCACAAACAATGAGGAGGAGGAGGAGGAGGAGGAGGAGGAGTCCAAGGTGGAGCACGCGGGTGATGGGAAGGGTCTCAGTCTGATGACATGGGCTTAGAAGAGGGATGCTATGGGGCCTCGAGGTCGTCCTCTGTCACGGCCAGACCTCGAGCTGGACTGAGTAGACACTCGGCCCCTTGGGGCCCAGAACTACCCAGAAATCTCAAAGTCAAGACGTTTGCAGGGCAGTCCAATTTGCGGGGTTGCCGAAGCAAAACGTCGGAACTCCAGGAGCACCTCAGTCATGAGGATTGGGGGCGGGTGGGTGGATTTCTGGCGGGGTCCCGATCGGGATTTCAAGACCGGGAGGCGCCAGGAGGAGCCAGAGGAGATCACCCAGACACCTTTGAAACCATTGTCCGATTACCCGTTCGACTACTGCAGAATACCTGCCCCAAAGACCCCCTACACCCCCAGTGTGGACGTTCCAGGGCCTATTGCAGCCTACTTGCCGTCCTCACGCACGGGTTTGGGGGTCATTTTCCCAGGTGCAGACCTTTCGGGCCAGTCCAGGGTGGTCGAATCGTCGCTCGCGTCGTCGATGCCGGGGCCGAGCGTCGTGGGCACGTCGCTGTCAGAGCCTGACGCTCATCCCCCTCCCAATCCCCTCCCCTTTTCCCCCCACTCCCTCTCCCCTCCCACTCCCCCTCCATCCCTCCCATTCTCTCCCGCTCCCCCTCCTCCGCCTCCCCCCCTCGCCCCCATATCGCCTGCGTCAGCGGGTTCAGGTTCGTCCTCGCTGCCAGCGGCAGCAGCAGCGGCTGATAAATCTCGAAGGTCGTCCAAGGCGTCCTGTGACATGGCCGGGGGGGAGTCACGCGGCCTCAGAGAGGCTTTGCAGAGCCAGTAAAACTTGAATGTTTGCTTGGAAAGGCTTGAGACGACGTGAAGATGAATGATGATAACACTAATGATAACAACATCAAGTAGCCATAACATACCTCTATCATAACACTATGTAAGAGGCAGCTAAGATGGGCTATGTTGAGGGCCCCTAATGTCCACCCGAAGGTCCGGAGGGGGGGGAACTTCCCCTTGTATTGCTCGATGGGAACCTAAAGGGCTAATGTCCGCACGTGTCCGCATGTCCGCGGGCCACACAATTGCCGTCAAACGTATGCGTGTGTACCTTACACGTACTGTCCGCGTGAGTCCGCATGTCCGCGCGCACGGTTTTTCACCGTAACACGGACACCATGGTACATTAGGCGTAATGTCCGCGTGAGTCCGCATGTCCGCGCACGCTGGCCCAAACACGGTAAACGAAACACATGTGTACGGTACGCGCAATGACCGCGTGTGTCCGCATGTCCGCGCACGCTTGCCAAACACCCTAAAAGGAACCGATGTGCACGGTACGTGTATTGTCCGCGTGTGTCCGCGTGTCCGCCCTCAGTGTATTCACCGACAAAAGCACATGTGTGTACATTACGAATAGTGTCCGCAAGCGTCCGCACGTCCACATGCCATGCAAACATAAGTAAAACAGCCAGGGTGTGCACAACTCAACTTCGCTTGTATTGTCCGGGAGACGGTGCTT